ATATGCACTGATTAGTTCGGAATTTATGTAAATGTATATATAAGAGACCGGTCGTGCATTATTTATGGTGGGGGTGGCACCGAAAAAAATGTTTTTCTTGGGCGGTAAAAATCAGCTTGCTGATCCAACCGTTACACTTTTTTGCCAAACATCAAATATCAATTTAAAAATAGATACCCCCCCGGCCAAAAAACGTTACAAAAGCTACCATTCAGTTGTCACACATGTCCTTTACCATTTCTGTGACATAAGTTTGATTGTGCAAGCAATTTTCTGCAGTCTAATGTTTCATGTTGTCTGCACATGTACTGTCTTTAAAGCCACCATATTTACCTATTTGCCATAGAACTGATAGACTCGTAAAGCTATCCGCGGTATAAACTAATAAATCAAATTATAATATAACTCATTAGGGATGTATCCTAATATACAAAATTCGTCTGACTGGCATAAACTTTTTGCTCGCCGATTCTCTTAGTTAAAAAGTTAAGATCACTTCTTTAAATTTTGAGAAAAATTGTTTTACAACACGACGTGGCTGTTAAATCCTTGTGTTTCACAACCGTATTGTATAACAATATATTATCGCCTTTATTTTGTCTATTATTACGTGTCAGTTTCTCCCAAAGCCCGCAGAAAAAGGAGATGAAGATTTATTATCAATGATAAAAATAATAAGAAAAGAATACAAGATAAATATAACAAATTAGGTAAACAGCCAACTAAAGTAGTCGCATATTTAACTTTTATTGAGTATAGTTGTATATTCTTGCATGCAATTATATACATGAATGGTTTAAAAATTGTAATGGCCCACCCCTAAAATTCCTTTATTCTAGGCTATTGTGTACCTATTGTGTGCTATTCCCGTGCTATTCATCGATAGACGCAACAAATAAATAATATAAATAGCGTCGATTGCAAAAGAACAGTTATTGCAGTGTCCTTAATTTTTCAGCCCTTACTACAAACATTGCCTATCGTCACGTGTGTATTGTATTAATTTTGCTCCCCCAACTAACCAATAGCAATGTTTTAGGAAAGTTACCTATCCGTGACTCGAACAATGGGGTAAATTGGAAATGGCTATTGGCGGATTTGGCAAAAATACAATACACGCGTTACGGTGAGGGACCATGCAGATTTATGAACAAACGTTGATTAATTTAACATAAGTTATATTGTGACAGTTATTCTAATGAGTTTCAAACTGCTTGCTCTCACCTGAACGCAATGAATTATTTCTGTGTTCTTATGACTATTTTTTGTCCTACCTAATATCCCACCTCGGTCGGACGAAACTATATGTAAACATGGCGTCTTCGAAATATCTTTTATTGTAATTGAACAAACTAATAGACAACTTGCATGTTAGACTAAATTTTAATCTTAACAAAGAGAAGGGAATCAAACACCACAGCTAAAAAGAATATAATGAAATTAGTAAAATTGCAAAATTTGGTTGCGAAATGTTGTAAAGCTTGGAAAATATAGTCTTCCAAAATTTGCAAATTTTTGTATATAGAGGATATTAAACGGCGGCGCGAAGATATGACTTTTATCTTCGAGTGATGAAAACAATATTTTACGAACGAGCGCAGCGGGTGAGTAAAATATTGTTTTTAACACGAGAAGGTAAAAGTAATATCTTCAAGCCACCGTGTAATGTCCTGTTTATTATATATAGTAAAAGCAAAAAGCAAAAAATGTGAAATTTCTCGCTCAAAAGCAAATTGGAAAAAGTCACGTGATCGATATCCTCTGCACCAGTGAAGATATGGAAAATATGTCCATGTGTATTTTTCAGTATCTCACTCTCTACTACATAATAAATGTTTGTATTACGTGCGGATCTTACCATGCATTTACGGCTCAAAAATGATTAAAATTTCTGCATGTAATACAAACATATACAAAATATGCAAACTTCGCAAGGCTATATTTTCCGTATTTTACAACATTTCATAGCCAAATTTTGCAATTATACTAATTTTAATAAGTTCTTTACGGGAATTTACTTTTTTGCCCAAATAAAAACATGCAAGTTGTCTAATAGATAACTGACAATTCCCATTGTAGACTAATTTTAAAACTAAGCAAGGAGATGCAGATAAATCACCACAGCTAGAAAGAGCATACTAAAATGCATGAGTAAAATTGAAAGCAAAGTTGCGAAATGTTGTAAAATATAGCCTTGCAAAGTTTGCAAATTTTGTGTACTTTTGTATTGCGTGCGGAAATTGCTACCATTTTCGGCCCAAATGTGTTAGCCCTGTATGACTTAAATAGTATCTGTTTAGGTCTATCAGTTTTGTTTGTGCCGTTCAATACATTATAATAGGAAAAAATGTCCATCCCAGTCATGTGGGATAAGGCCTTCATGTTGAAAATTTCATCCCATGCATATATGACTGAAATGCCAACCAGAGCAAGGTGCGATCTTGCCTATAGCCGGACTGCCGCGTTTCTCATATGAATTTTATATGTGTTAACAACGGGCGTGCAGGTCTCATTCAGGGGAGTTCCCCTCTTAGCTGGGCTCATATGAACAGGGGCGAAACTTCGGTATTACGGGTAAAAATATTTCCGGACGTAGTAAGTTAAAAAAAATTTCCGGACATATCATTTCATAGTTCAGTAACTTTCGAAATAATTTACCGTAATTTGTTAAATTTTCCAGTAAAATTTTCGTTAATTTATCAAGATGTTTCTTACAACTATTACTTTTCAATCTGAGACACTCGAATATTTTCAAAATTTGCCTGACGAAATTGGATCGATATACCCAACGAGTTAAAGACAGGGGTGTCACATCCCCCGGTAGTTTAGCGCCTGTATATGAACAAGCCACTCAAGCCCTTAGTGCTATGCTATAACAACTGATACTTTAATAAAGTTATGATCATTATCAATGCATGGAATTCTTCTTTAACCAAAGGAGAAAAAGGACTTTAATTTAACGAACCAAAATATATCCCATCGACTTAACATTCACCTTGCCATTGTCAGCCAAGCATATATTTGATGCAAGATTTCCACTCACTGGAAAGCTCGGCTCGCTTGGGTAACAATACGAAGGGTTTTGCATATTATGTCTTCCTCCCAAGCCAAGAAATGAGTTCGGCCTTGCACAATCCTATTAATTAGAATAGAATGAAATCATTAAACTATACGAAACTAGGCGAAAGGGAACGAACTGAACTGGACCGAACTGAATTTGAATTTGAACTGTCCTGTCAACATCATCTGACGACATCGTCATTAACATTCGGCAAAACCTGAAATCTGCCCGATTCTAAAATCGTTGTGTGTAAACGTAGCTTAAAGGGAAACAGTAAAGTGTCCGTATAAGAGAAGAGTATGAATTATATATATATATATATATATATATATATATATATATATATATATATATATATATATATATATATATATATATATATATATATATATATATGGTATGGATATAGTCTGGCTTGCCAACGTAGAAGTCACTTGTCTGGAGGATCCAAAGGATACACGACGCTTAAAATATTATAGATAGGTATACAGTCTGGAGTTCGCATTTCCTTCTGTATACCTATCTATCTATCTATCTATCTATATATATGTATTAAAACTAATACATAACTTTTTAAATTCTGAATTTATACACTCAATTTTATATCTATACTAAATATTGTAATTTATAAACTCATTACTTGTAAATTGTAACTTATAAACTTGTAATTAGACCTGAAAAGCCCTAAGGGGAGGTTCTAAATAAATTTGTATTGTATTGTATCATATATATATATATATATATATATATATATATATATATATATATATATATATATATATATATATATATATATATATATATATATATATATATATATATATATATATATATATATATATATATATATATATATATATATATATATGTACTATTTATAAACCGAGTGAGAGGGCTTTATCGGTGCATATAGGCGAGCGGCTATAGGCACCGATAAAGCCCAATCACGAGGTTTATAAATGACTTCTAAAATTCACCTTTTGTTTTGGGTCCCAATGAAATAATAAGAAATGCTAACTACAATAGTTCTATTGTTTTACGATTCTTCCCTTCATTGATCAGCAAGCATGCAAATTAATGACTAGATTAATTGTCAAGTCATACAAGTCGTTAAACGGATTTTTCAAATGGAAATTTGAACATATTTGACTTATTTTGTTAATGAGTCGGTTTCGAAGCGCTCGAAGTGCTGAAGAAGAGCAAACGTTGCTCGAAAGAGCGATGCCGCCAAGTACAAGATACGTGACAAAGTGGGCTTTGACTATTTTTGATTCCTGGAGAGCTGCTAGAAGGTTAAAGAAGTGAAGATCGACGACGCTGGTCATGAAACTGATGATATTGGCCCAATCCAGACATTAACTACATCGCTGGCGGAGATGAATGAAGCGTCTTTAGAATTTTAGTTGAGCAAGTTTGTTGGGTTTAAACAGTTTAAAGTGGTGTGTAATCAAAATGAAAGGGTTGTTAATCCCGTGTTTAACAATTGTAACATTAATTTTAATTTTGGAAAATAAAGTATTTATTGATTTCTCGAATATTTGAGTTTTTATTAGGAACAGATTAATAAACATTTTGTTAAAGAATGCTTTATAAAGGTACATGTACCTTTATCATAAAGGTACATGTGGTCTATATATGAATTTTAAATCAGCACACACCGATCTATATCATGGTATATAAGGGTCATCATGTGACGAGATTTTAAGAAATTCATTGGCTAATTAGCTCATGAATTATTCATGAATTTTAGAAATATATATATAAATATATAGGTAATTTTTAAAAGGCCGCACATGAGAATCATGTAGGTCGGGACATTTCCGAAGATTAAATTTGCTTATCACATTAAAGATATCATGCAGTTATGAGTATAAAATCAATACTGATAATGGAGGCGAAATAATTTTCACATTAATTTAAGTTTGAGATGGTTTTATAGTTACAGTGGGGCTTGATTCACTTCTGCAATTCGCACATTTTGCTGATTTTGCTCGATGGACATTTTTTCTTCGTTTTCTAATTCTTTTATATCTAGTTCAATCTGTTCAATATATACAGTACTGTATGTTTGTAATGTTGCTCTGAGTGTGTCTACACCGGACAAGCTGAAAAGTTTGCTTGACCGCGGTGGCTGAAAAGTTAGCTCAGTGATTAGAGCACCGTACTGGAATCGCATGGCCGTTGGTTTGATTCCTGCCTGCAGAGAGCCTGTATATATTTGCATTATTCGAAACCGCTCCTTGTTAAGCCTAAATATTATAGTGTTCGCTTGAAATTTCATACAAAACTCCTTCTACTTGACTGGGACTTAGAAAGACAAATATAGTTTTGAGTTCTAAAGAGACAAATAAAATCTTTCTTTTTCTTCACAAAACTTGCCTGTTCGTCGCCAACAATGCCAATGCGAGCAATAACAAGCTCTATATCAGAATCATATATATTGAAACCCTCCTTGTAGCAGTTTGATTGCAGAGATGAGTTCATAATCAATGATTTCCATTTTTCACGGCCAACATTGGTAGCAAGAAATTTGTCTTCAGCAATCAAATCACGCAGCGATTCGCCAGCGTAAGGTATCATCACGAATCGTAGATCATTGCCGACTTTCATTCCAATACATATCTCTTTAAACGAAGCACTCCAGTAGCTGGGCATTTTGGTTTCGACATCATCAAAGCCAAATCTTCCGTGAATGTTAAGATAACCGGTTCTGTCTGTCCAGTAAGTGGAATTGTAGTCAAATGTTGTCTGTTGAAATGAAGAGAAGTCCTATTCAAATAATATTGATTTTTTCTGGGTCTTCTGGTATCTCTATGACAAAATTATTCTGAAAAGTGAATTTTTGAGTAGCCTTTCACGCATACTATTTATCACACGCATGACTGATTTTATGCATGATTGATAATTCTTACATCCTCTTGATAAAAGGTTTAAAAATTACGTGTAAAAGGTGAAGGCTACTATGGCAAAAACAGTCCAAATCTTAGAGGTCGCGCGTTGTAAAAATCAAAATATTAAATAACGTCATAATATTAGTCTTTTAAATCGAAGTCAAAATAAAAACAATTTCGGCACACTCCTTGCCAAGATGGCGGAAATTAAAGAAGCAATTGGACGTCAGTTCCAGTCCCTTTCTATTGTTTTTGTGGATTCACTTTTTGGATTCGAGTTCTCGCTCCAGATGTATATGGAGCTCAGTGGTAGTACCTTACTCCCATCAATTTTCATCACCATGGTCCAACCTCCACCTGCACAGCCTTCAAGTGACGGCATCTGACAATACATTGACGTGGCTTTCGTGCCATTTTTGTGTAGTATATTATAATTACCATTTGGCAAATCTCTAAAACATCAAGTATACATAATTACTTAAAGGTAATCATTACAAATTAATTCCTTCAGAAGTAATTGATTACTAATTACTTGACAGGTTACTATTTACTTGGGCACTAATAAGATTGAACTTAACTGGACAATATCAAAATGCACGTAAGCAACCGATACAAAACAAGACGTACTGACGTATTATTCAACTGCGTTGGATTTGTTACTTTTAAAGTTACTTCAGATCCGAGTGGTGGCCGGCATTACTTTTTTCACCGGTAAATAATAAAATCGTTGAGTTACGGAGCAAAAATAAATTATGAACTTTCTCGTTTCTTTTATTTTTTTTGTTTTCTTTGTAATAAAATGCTTACTGACTGAGATCTTCGGGAAACAGTATGTTTTGTGTCCGCTAGACTGCCAATGTTTCCCTCGGGTTCACCTTTTGTACCCACAAAACATACTATTTCCAAGTGTTAAATAATGTAACGAAGAGCAGTTAAACTGTTTGAAACGTAGTTCTTAAATATTTTATGATCCCGTTGGTAATGGTTTTTAAAATGTATTACACTCTCAGTTTTGTTCACTATAATTATGCCTGGTTATCATACCTACCGCCCAATTTGAAACAAGCTTTTACAGGATGAAAAACTTCCTATACAAGTTAGAAATTAAGAAAATGAATTCAGATATTTATACACGAGTTATCATATCAACTTGTGCTGAAAATGAGACTGAGCTTTTTAGCAATCTTTTAAGAGTTTCAAAATTACTATAAGAGACACGTATAGAGTGTATGGTGTAACGTCTGATGTAACGAAGTAGTATTTGTTGAAAAATTCAACGTGATACATGTGCAAAAATTTCACAGCTTGTCAAAAATGCTTAAAACTGAGCCCACGGTGCCAAGAAATGAATGCTCAACGCACATTGCGATTTTCTGTGCGATTTCCGGCCGTGTGTGGAAATCGAATTTTCATACATGTAACTTTACCTGTAACGTTTTGACAAAATTTGCCAGAAAAGTTTTCCTTACAAATACAATCAAAACCATTCTCTTTATCGCATGGATTTGCAACACAATTCCCACCGTTCTTGCACGAGTGGTTTTTAGAGCATAATAATATCTGCAATGAAACATAGCATTAAACATTACAAAAAAATGAATTGATAAAATAGCTGACAAAGTTCTATTGCACATTTGCTCTCAATGGACTCGTTTCCATGATTTAGCATGGTAGGCGCATTGTGTAGGTCCCATTTTGCTTGCATGAATATGTTTCTCTTGGATCTTCAGTCCAATCACAAACCTATCCTTATCATAGGAACCTAGGGGGCACTCGATCGAAGACTATAGTACCTCCCGCAGCGTAATCAAGGGCCTGTTCATGTGGGAGAAAGTTACCCAGGTTAAGCGAGAAAACATTTCGACAAGCTTAAAAGCGAGATCTTTCCTTATTATGAATTTAATATAAAAAAGTTACACTGCGTTCATATGAGACGAAAAGTTTTCCCGTGTACATACAGAGATCTCCCTTGTTGACAGGCGAGATCTCGGTAACCGGGATGTTTTCCCATATGAACACAACATAGCCACAAAAAAACTTTCCGTCGTGTCAGCAACAAGTTTTCTGCTTTAAAAATGTATTTTATCAAAGTGTTTTAAGTTTCCCCCTCTTGCGCGTCACACCAGTGGCGGCAGTGCTATACGTCACAATCGGAAACTTTACCCGGTAAGCAGGATAACGTTTCTCCATATGAACAGAAAAAATGTTTTGTCGTTAACCGGGATAACTCAGTTCTGCCCATATGAACCATAGACATCTTATATACACTAGATAGCGCATCTCTTTTAGTAAAATTGAAGCCAAGAATATTCCAGCGGTTACTCCCATTTGAATAGATGGCGGCCATGTTGGTATTTCCCAACCGCTAATAAACGCTTAAAAAACAACAATAACTTTCATCATTTGAATAGTTTAAAAATGTATTTGGAATAAGTTTAACTTATTGTTTGAGTTCCCTGTTTAAGAAATAGAAAACATACGAATCTTCCATTGTCATGGGAATATCCTGAGTCTGCAATCGCGGCTTCAATTTTTGAATTGCAGAATAATTAGATGCACTATCTAGTGTATATAAGGATATTATTTTTATTATTAATTTTATTTAAAAACACTGTAGCCTTTCACAAAGAGTGATTTTCAAAGGGCCGTGTGGACAATTACATTACTAAAAATAGGTACGCACTGCGTACATTTTGCAAGCCATACGCTTCCATCGTAACTGTTCTCTGTGATTGACATGAGTAATAAGAAAGCCGCCATGCAGGGGCGTCCTCAGAAAGCTTTCAACTTGATAAGGTTGACCTGCGTCCTTCCCAATTCAGCTTATTTGAGCACTTTCTGTATCTGCGAAGCAGATATATATGCCATCGCAAACCGTACCGTACCGTGTGTTAACAGATAGCCATTCAGCGACGAGCTTAGATAATTTAAGACTATTTAAGCAAATCAGCGATTCGTTTACATCAATTGTTTACATCGTGCCCGCATCTAACCTGCGAACGGGCATACTTTAGCCTCGTCAGGCCTCGTGTATAAATCGTGTTATTCTTTCAAAAATATCTTGATATTTTTATCAAGTTATCTTGAATTCAAGTTATTTATCAACATGGAATCTTATCCTCATCTGGTAAGTAGTCAAATACCACATATTATATATTTAAATACCAAATTTGTGCAAATATATGTCCCACATATTTGATAATACATGAGTTCGCCAGTACGGCAAATATTTACTATACTATCTATAGTTAATATTGCCGTATCTTCGGCGTAGAGTTTACATGGAATGCACTCTGGAATTTTTTATTAATATATTACACTGTATAAATTATTGGATATTTTCGAGGATATTTTAAGTCATTTAATAATAATAATAATAATAATAATAACGAATTTATTAAGGCATATCTACATAGTAGCTCTACATCCTTAATACCTAAACTAAGATAAATATATATGTATATATGATATTTGGAAAAATAGTAAAAGGAGATTAATGTATATGAAATAGTTAAGCTAAAAATTGAATTTGTCAACATAGTTCACAAAAAAGATTTATACAGTATTAAAAACATTCTTTCTGTGACTTCTGTAATATTTTAAACAGTGAAAACATAGCAGGCAATATTGCCAATTAACAATATCAAAGGAACCTATTGGACAGTTCTCAGGAGATATTGAATTAAATCCTGGTCCTTTATTTCTGTATATTGACTCCGTAACTCTGTTCAAAACAGATCCAACTATAAAGCTGTCATCAAATGTAGTGTTAGAGCAAAGGTTGAAGATGTTATCAGTTAAAATACTTATACATTTTGGTTTTACACATTAGAGTTAATTAAACAAAATATTTACAAACATTTTCAAATAAAACAATCCTCACCTTCCCGAGCCTCATTACATTGTCATTTTGCATTCTAACATAATTAAATATTTTTCTTTAGAGATTAATACAAGAATGAAGAATAAATGTACTGGATATTGGCTGGATAATTTTGTCAGAACAACTAACTTGCAAGACAATCTTATCTAAATTCATTAGTATGGAAAATAACTTAACAGCTACAATGAATAATCATATATTATATGGTGGATTTGATCAATGGCACACAGTGTACAAAACTTAAGTTGTGATATACCTTCTACTCAAACTGATAATCTCCCACAACACAATTGTTTTTGTGTGAATGTGCTGTGCGTGTTAAACCGAACAGTGTGGTATATCATTAACTGTGCACAGAACTGGAATTTAATTATATACTTCACTCATGACCTTCAAAACATTCTCAATTATTCAGTGGTCTTTGACATGTTCACCAAATATTTTGTGTATGTTACTCAACAGTTAACATTGGCAAGTGTAAACAATTCACAAGTGACATAACTTTTGCTTCATATGATTACAATAAAGTTTTCAAAATTTGATGAGTATGGATTGAATTGACAGGTGACAGTTTACTAAATAGCTGGCTGTATAGACACTTTGAATATTGTTTGCATGAAATTTTTATTTCCTGACTGCATAATTATCTGTTACAATCATAATCATATTATAAAGTTAGTTAAATTTTCTCGGTGTGGGGCAAGGGAGCACGCCAGAAATACTTGTGTAAATTTATACTAACCTTTTAATTACATGTAAATGTTTTCAATTTTCATCGGCCGCCATTTTGAATGTTGAAAGCGGTATTAGCGTATCGCAGGCGCAATAATTTATATTCATCTTTGACATTAATTTATGTTACACGATGATACTCCGAAGGGCGACCGAGAAAGATCCGAAATTTAAAATAAGGCGGAGAAATAATAAAAAATAAAGAGGGGAGTGAAACGGCCGAACACGTGATCCACTGATGCTGGTTGACTGTTACTAGGAACATTTGATGTTGCTAGGAACAAACCGGAAACAAAATGAGACCTACTATTAGGGGAACCACTGAGTATTTTAATATAATATACTGTAGAACAACAAATATAATATAATATACTGTAGAAAATAATTTTTTTTTATTATTTTCGGATTTACCGTTGATTTATATTTGATCTACTATAATTAGTTCAAGGGAGTCACATTAGAATATATTAAGATTGGGGACAATGGCGAGAGTTTGTATATCAGATAAACATCGGCTGCTCGTGTTTTAACGTGCTTGAAAGATGGTCCATCATATGAGTTCATTGGCGAAGTAATTTTAAAATAAACATTGTCTAAGCCGAGAAAATCGAAGCTGAAGTTTATGTAAATGAGAACAATTTACAAATCTATTATCCGACGATTTACATACATTGATTTAACATTCATTTCTTTTGAATTTCCTTCATGAATTATTAATACTGTATTTTGTGTCCAGCATTTGCAAATGTATTTGTTTCTCTGCTGTCGAAAATTCACTGCTGGCGAGCAACGATGCAAATCAAGTCAATCAATACAAGTTTTGATATATAACATATTTCAGATTCGACAGTTCTTGGTCAACGAGCATGGCCAGATAACCAAATTGGATATACGCATTGTCATTGGCCAATACCCCATCACGTGTTCGGCCGTTTCACTCCCCTCTTTATTTTTTATTATTTCTCCGCCTTATTTTAAATTTCGGATCTTTCTCGGTCGCCCTTCGGAGTATCATCGTGTAACATAAATTAATGTCAAAGATGAACATAAATTATTGCGCCTGCGATACGTTAATACCGCTTTCAACATTCAAAATGGCGGCCGATGAAAATTGAAAACATTTACATGTAATTAAAAGGTTAGTATAAATTTACACAAGTATTTCTGGCGTGCTCCCTTGTGTGGGGGTGAGGGTAGCATTTGCCCTGCTGCACTCCCCGCTGTGTACAGCCCTGTTTTAAATCTTATCTGCCATTATAATAAGTGATGAAATATTTCAATTGTCCCATGTCATCTTCATTATTCAGTTTCTTTCAAGAAAATACAAAATGTGAATCAAGTTTTTTCGCAGATACATGTACGCGTCGCGTACCTATTTTTTTAGTTTGGAGCACTATTTTGCGAGTTTAACTATTCTGCGGGTTGCGGGCTGCGGACCGAAAAATGCGGGCTGCGGGCCGAAACTGCGGGCTGCGGGCCAAAAAATGCGGGTTGCGGGCCCAAAAATGCGGGTTGCGGGCCAAAAATTGCGGTCTGCGGGTCGAAAAATGCGGGCTGCGGGCAGAAAAATGCGGGCTGCGGGCAGAAAAATGCTAACCCTTTCTGTTCCCTGGTTATAATGCGCTACCGCTTATAACTTTTGGTACAACTGGCCTGAAACTTAAAAAGTTTAATATCAATATATTTATTGAAAAATAGCTATTGTGTCAAAATAAGAAAACTTAAGATTCTCACGCGAATAGGCAATGTTTTTATGAGCGACTGTTCATCGTTAGTTGCAAACGACGGTAATGTAAACAAGGTCAAGGTTTTATCGAAAGCGATTGACTCTTAGATTTCCTTTTATACTATTTTATAACTAAATAATGTTAT